TCTAAATAGTTAAAATGAAAGGGAATAAAATGGAAACTTAATACATTACATATTATTGGTGGTTGTTACAATGGAATTGATCAGCAATAGGATGATATGAAACCTAAAACTGCACTTAACTGTTAAACGCTGCAACAGTGAAACGGGGTTTCATTAACATCTAATCCTTTATTGGGCTCAAGACATACTTAACACATCTGTCAAACCCTATTTCGATGAAGCACAAAAATTTTATAGCTAAAGAATTTCCACGGATTTTCAACACTACATCAATCAACAAACAGGAAATAGCAGCAGGTCAGCATCTTCACAGCTCTACCAATCTGAACTGGATTTTTTTAATCACTGCTATAAAAAAAGCTACGAGTCTAGATCATAAAAACACTTGATTAGATACTATACACATATATCTCTTGAAAGGTCCAAGAGATATCAATCCTTTGCTTCTTTTTTAAACTCTGCTTTACCCATGGCGGCACTATAGCACAGTTGCTTTTCCTCTCATATTAAATTGAAAAGAACAGATACTATATATCACAGATGGCAACCTACAGCCCACAGGCCAGATTCAGTCCGAGAGGCTTGAGGCTCTCTCTCCCCGCAGTAGAGAGCCAGCATTGGCACTCCAGCTATGTGGCAAGTCTCTGAGCCTCAGCACTTCCTATGTGGCTGATGTACCAGCTGCCAGGTACAAGGAGGCAAAGCACTGAGCCTCATGGATCAGATCCAGGGAAGCTGCAGGTCAGATGGCTCTGTCTTACAGGGATAAGGAAGCAACTTGGCACAGCAGCACAGGAAAGCTCTATCCCTGCGCTCACTTGCAGGCTCCACCCCCATTGCTCCCATTGGCCAGGAATGGCAGCCAATGGGATCAGCGGAGGGATGGTACTAGGGATGTTAAGTATCAGTTAATTGAATAGACGATTAACCTCATGAATTCTTATCAGTTGCTCAACTATTCTATAGGCCCCAGTGGTGGGGTCAGCAACCAGTACGCTCTGGCCCCACTCCCAAGGAGCCCCCTGCTCCATGCTACTGACTTTGTATCAGAGGCAGCAGTGTGGAGTGCCAGGCAGGAGATGGTCCACGAGGGGAGCCAGTTTGAAAACCAGCTCACCTCGCAGACTGGCTGCCTGTCACCCCGTGCTGCTGTCCAAGGGGACTGCTGAGCTCCCGTACCCAGCGTGAACAGGAACTGAGACAGCCTGCCTCCTAATATACTTTAGATGCAGAGCCGCAGTGGGGATAAGTCCCCAACCTGGTACAAGCCAGGACTGAGCCGGGCTGCTGGCCTGCCTGCTAAAAAATTTACTGGTGGGGGGGAAGGAATGCATGAAGTTTATAGAACTAACCTATAAGATTTTGCTTATCAGTTAATGATTAATCAGCTACGCTATTACATCCCTAGATGGTACCGGTAAGTGTAGGGCAGTGCAAAGCTAGGTAGATTCCTCAGTCCCTTGCCCCTCCACTCAGATGCCACAGTTTCAAACACTGCCCACTCCTGCACCCTATATCTTCTGCCCGGACTCTGCACCCCCAGACTGTTCTTGCACCTTAACTCCCACTCAGACCCCACAGCCCCACTCCAACCTGTTCCCCAGCACCCTACTACCAAACACCAAACCGCTCATTTTTGGCCCCACAAAAATCTACTATTCCTAGGTTCCCAGAAAAGTTAATCTAGCCCTGGAGGGAAGCCCTGAGCCTTGGCACTCTCTCCCCAACCTTGTGGAGCTAGAGCATGAGAAAATTGAGGTAAAACTTTCTCTTTTTTTTCCTTCTGCATCTCAATTGGGGGCTATGTCTGTGAGGGTTTTTTCCTCCTTCTCACTCGGGGGGGAGGAGGGGCCACATCCAGGAGGTTTTTTTGTTTTGCATCTCACTTGTGGGTGGCCCACCCGACTGATTTTTCAATGACCCTTAAAAGGTTCTCCACCTTTGTTATATATTATCTCAGTCAAACACTGATTACCCATAATGCTTTTAGCGAACTTTGCTTTACTATTTAAAATTAAACACATTTTCAAACTAAATGTTAGCCACAGGTTCAGGGGAGGGCAGGTCCTCAACTGGATTTAAATAAATCCATACACTATAAATCCATGCAGGCCATGCTGCTTCTTGCTAAGCAAATGAAAATGTAGACAATGCCTTGGGAAATGGAAGGGAGAGAGGCAGAAGGGAGTGCACTTGTTAGGAACAACTGGTCTGTCATGTAGATTTAATTGTATCAACTTCACTTAAGTATACTTTGTAACTTGGTTTCTGGCAGTTCTGGGCATCCAGAGGAAGGATTTGCCTTCAACATGCAAGCCAGTGATACAATCGCTTTGGCTTACTCTACCTCGCCAATGAATGTAAAGTGAATAGTACAAGGAACAATGTTATGCAAAGGGATGATCTGGTTTTCAATTACACACAGATCTTATCCTAATCTACATGTTTTGTTAGTCTATAAAGTGCTACCAGACCTTTTGTTAATTTTTCATGAGTAAGTAGCCACCAAAAGACAGGAAAATCATCAATTTGCACAGGAGATTCTGCTTTACTAAATAGATCATTCCACCAGGCCCCTTTCGCCGAGTACTGCAGCCCGAGGGAACTCATGGGCTAAATCTACACAGCTTCCTTCTTCCGCAAAAGCCTATGCAAATGAAGTGCAGATTAGCATATTGCTGGGCTTCATTTGCATAATTAATTAGGAGTTGTTTGCGCAAAAACCCCTTCTGGCACAAGAGTCGTTCTTCCTCAAAAAAATGAAGAAGAACGGTACTTGCACAAGAGGGCGGTTTTGAGCAAAAAGGAGCTGTGTAGACTGTGCCTTTTTGCACAAAAACCTCTTGCGCAAAAATGGCTCCTAATTAATTATGCAAATGAAGCACAGCAATATGCTAATCCGCGCATCATTGGCATAGGCTTTTGCAGAAGAGAGAAGCTGTGTAGACAGACTTGGAGGGGCCTGGCACTGGCAGCAGGAGTCGGGCCTGCCCCCATGCTCACTGGCAGTGGAAGGAAGTGAAGTGACATGGCCCCAGCCTATTTCATTCCCCCGGCTCCCAGCCACATTACTCTGATTCTGATTGCCAGTGAGTGCAGGGGATAGTTCCTCCCATTTTCCTAAGCTCCTTTCCCAACCTACATGGCTAGGAGTTGGGGAAGTAGAGCAGGCTGGGGCCAATCACTCTACTTCCCACTGCCCTAGGTGAGTGCAGGGGCAGGCCCACTCCCAGGTGCCAGCACCAAGTCCCACCACCAATGAGCAGCAATAGCTATGTCAGCGGGCAAACATCTGCCAACATAGCACTGTCCACACTAGTGCTTCCGTCAGTGTAACATGTCAGTTAAGGGTGTGTTCTTCCATACCCCGACAAAAGTGTTAGTGAAGACATAGCCTAGTACAGTGATCTAGGAGTGCACATTTCTACCTGGCATGGTGACACTTCATTATAAAATATACCACCAGTTTGGGGCATCTGTTCTATTTTTGGACACAGTGACCAGAGACAGGCACTCTTCGTTCTGAACCACTATGGACAGCGTGACAAGGGTATTTCTACACAGCCCCAGGTTCTCCTTTTAGCTCACTCACTACTCCTATGTCACCTTCTTGCATTTGTTACTCCGATGATTTCCTTCCATTCTCAGCTTTGTGCATGACCTCATACTCTACTCACTGGGTCACATCATTCAATTCCATTGGATTAACTACCAAGCCTAAGCCAAACAACTCCCTAAATCTACTTCACCTCTGATCTTTCATTCTAACTCCACTCTTACATCCTTGTTTTTCCAAAATCTCCTCTTCTTGGACACCCCCCCCCCCATCCACTTCAGGAACATCCTATCAGATCATCCAGTCTCCCAAACCATCTCTTCTTTCCTTCCTTTCCACAACTCAGTCTTGCAATTAGGGATGTGAACATGTAGCCCTGTATCCCATGGAGCCACCTTCTCTCCTTCTCCCTCTTCCCTCCTTTCCCCTGCGGCTGCTTCCCACAGAGGCAGCAGTGCAGTGGGGGGAGGCGGGAGCTGGTGCTTAAAAGCCAGCTCCCCACAAGTACCATCTCCCGCCTGCTTCCCCTCCATCTACTGTGTAAATGTGTAACTGCTATAAATTTCAGCAGTTACACATTTACAAAATTAAACACCTTTTAACATCTCTACTTGTAATTCTGATCTCATGCTTGACACACCCAGGTTCATATCTAAAATCCACCCTTTCCACTCTTACCTTGTGTACTGAAACTTCTTCGCCTCTGACTTCCCCATATCTTCCTTTTCCCTGCTCGAGGCTAAAAATTCATTGCTAACTTCCATCTTCCTCTTGATGCAGCTATTCCAACATCATCACTCCTTTCCTTGAATTCCTTCACTGCTTTCTCTCTCCTACATCAAAATCAAACTCCTCATTCTTGCTTTCAAGCCTTTTCAAAATTTCAGACCTGCTTAAACCCCATAATCTTGTGCTCTGAGCTCTATTCTTTTTTTATTCGAGTCCTAAGTTTAGAATTGCTCCTAAATCCTGCATTTTCCTCCTGCAGCCCCACTTACTGCATACACTGATCTTACAAATAATTTTCTATGTGTCTACATTTACATTTTGAGAGTTTTACTTAAAGCATATGGAAAAGGCATGCTATCTTCACATTTCACAAGCAACATGGGAAACATATGACGCTTCTTAAATATCATTATCAAATTATTAATATTGGTATGCACATCAAAATACTGTTAAGTGGGGATTATGAACAGAATTATAACTTTACCATTTTAAAATGTGTTTAAAAAGCATTTGCCATAAAAAATTCCATTAAACAATTTCTACATGGCTATGAATGGTCATTAAAGTGATGCATCAACAGCTCTCTCTCTCTGATTTACAATATTTTAAAATATTTACAATATCATTCTAAGAAAGTTCCTATGAAATTTCTAAAAGAGCAATATGAGAAGGAAGGAGAGAACGAAAGCACTAAAGTTACAGAAAGTTAACCTACCAAATATGTTGGTGGAATGTCCTTTCCTGGCAATGGGTTTGAGTTCGTTATGCCCCCATCCATATTGCCTGTAATTATCCCAGGCATGCTTCATCATCTGAGGAAAGGAAATACTAGATTCAGTTAATATGGATTATTCATGCATTGTTGTTTCATTTCTTTATCTGAAAATTTCTGTGCCTCACATCAACACAGCATATTGATGGTTATTCTGACTCTATTTCTATCACTTACAATAGGCAGTGAACAGTCTTTGATCCAAAAAAATCTCAACAGCATCTAAAATACTCCAATAAAGAGGAGCAATGCATTGTGCATGCTACAGCAGTGTCAACGGATATGAAACACTGTTTTTTAACCAGGACTTATTGAGAATATAAATAATAACTTCAGTCTATTTTATATCAGTGGGAGCTAATAGGTACGCAGCTTTTCTGAAATTCAGGCCACTGATTTCATTGCCTATATATTGACTTAGGAATGTAAGCATAACGTCCATTTTTAACATCTAAGCTTAAATCTGACTCACTTGGCTAAGCAATAACACAGCAACAATCTACAAATACCCAAAAGGTGTAAGCTTGAAGGACAGCGAGGAGAAAATATTTAGGGGCTGCTGACAGAGCAAGTTACTATGTGGGAAGGCCAGGTATGAGTCTACAGCATACCAGTTTGCCACACAGAGATTTCCATGAGCTCCAAAAGCTGGCTTCCCAGCAGGACAATACCTGAGAAACACTGCTAGAAAGTATTTTTGAGGGAACAATCCTTCACTGTCCCATGGGAAGTGGATTAGATGACCTATATCCATCCTTAGTTACATGAGTCCATGGTATGTATTCTAAAAACAGATCAACACTGCACCAAAGGTGAAGAGAAGAAAGCTCTAGAAAGCCTGCCATTTCATTACAGTTCTTAATTTATGTTAGACATAAATACTTTGCCTATGGCCACAGAGTGAGCCAATATGTAAATTCCTCTAACAGACCTTCTTAAAGCACTCAGGGGCACCACACAAATGAACTCAGTTTTCTACACTCATGCATAAAATTAGTTTTATCTACTTAAAATGGAACATACATCCTTCTTATTGTGTCTCCCACTTTCCATAGGTTTGTAATTCCTTGCTTTACCATTTGTTAAAAATCTAACTTTGTTTTTAAGTGGGCTGGGAATTTCTAAAGTGCCTAAGAAACTTAAATAATTCCTAACAGACATTTTCAAAAATCTCACCAATAATATATACTAATAAACACTATTATTAATTATTTATATTATGGTAGTACATAGGGCTCCAGTCATGGATTAGAGCCCTACGTATCAAGCATCAAGTACATCGGTTTTCTTTACTTTCCTTTGTTTGTGATAATTTTGTTCAAGTCACCTTAGCTTTAGGGAAGGGCTGATGTGGTATATTAGGATCTCTCTTCTGGCAGATAAATGCAATAAGAAAGTGTTACTTGCCACATACAGTAACTGTTGTTCTTCGAAATGTCCCTAGGGGTGTTCCACTTCAGGTGCAAATATGCCTGTCTAACTCTTGATTAGAGATTTTCTGTTAGCAGTGTCTGTTTGACTGGCATATGCATTCTACACTGCCTTGTGGTATGTTCTGAAGGTATTTAGGCACAGACATCTCAGCCTAAGTTCCTTCTCTACCCAAAACTTCAATAAAGAGCTGTCCAAAAGAAAGGGAAAGGAGGATGGGTATAGAATAACTAGAGGAACACACATCTCTTGCAA